ATGCAGAACCTGAGTATCTCGTGCGCCCTGGTGTGCTGTATTCTCCTGGGCGCCTCGGCTGTGGTCGGCACTTTCGGGATCATAAAGAGGCAGATTTCAGCCGTTCTCATTACAGGCGTCATGTACATCCTTGCAGGTAAAAGGACTTGATGCTTTAGTCCTTTATTTCCTACCTTGGCAAACTATCCTACCCTTAGAGTTTCATATCCATTTACCTAAATCATATCCATTTGCCTGGAAGCCAATGAGGCTGGCGCCCCCCTCCCTCTCATACACACATGCGGATAGACATATTTTTCCTTTTTTAATTTTGGTATACCACAAATTGAAAACAGCAAGATGTATTTCACAAGTAAACTTCATTTAGCAGTTTTAGTTGTGTCAGCAATATGGAAGCGTAAATCAACATCTTACTAGTAGCCATAGCAACATAGTTCAATATCTTCACAATTATTTACAATAAGATGGATGTGCATGGTGCAGGGATTCCAGGTTCTCAAGATCAGGATGAAACTCACTGAAAATAAAAAAAGGAAATGTTATTTGCAACCGCTCTTAATGCCATCTTTTGGCCCCCACATCACCCTTTTTGTATATCTCGAGAGAGAGAGAAGAGAGAGAGAGAGAGAGAGAGAGAGAGAGAGAGAGAGAGAGAGAGAGAGAGAGAGAGAGAGAGATGAGAGAGAGAGAGAGAGAGAGGGAGAGAGAGAGAGAGAGAGAGGGAGGAGAGGAGGAGAAGAGAGAGGGATGGAGAGAGAGGATGGAGAGGGAGGGATGGAGAGAGGAGGATGGGAGGAGGAGAGAGGAGAGAGGGAGAGGAGGGAGAAGGAGAGAGAGAGAGGGGGAGGGAGAGAGGAGAGAAGAGAGGAGGAGAGAGAGAGAGAGAGAGGGGAGAGAGAGAGAGAGAGAGAGAGAGGAGAGGAGAGGAGGAAGAGAGAGGGAGGGAGAGAGAGAGAAGGAGGAGAGAGAGAGAGGGAGGGAGAGAGAGAGAGAGGAGAGGAGAGAGAGAGAGGAGAGAGAGGAGAGGAGAGGGAGAGAGAGAGAAGAGAGAGAGAGAGAGAGAGAGAGAGAGAGAGGAGAGAGAGAGAGAGAGAGAGAGAGAGAGAGAGAGAGAGAGAGAGAGAGAGAGAGAGATAGAGGGAGAGAGAGGGAGAGGAAGACGGAAATTGGATCTGTGTATTTACTCATTTTCACAACAGAAATGCGGATTATCATAACATACCTTGTAATATCAAGACATCTGCTGCGCTGCATACAAATTGTCCATTTAAGCAATTAACATTTTATACTTTATACTTTATACTTTAGACATTGAATGATAGAACCAGGCCTCATACAGCCGTTTATTCAGAAGATAATGAATCCTTACTCTAACATGGAAGGCGAAGTAGATTTCTTTTCACGTGCTCCCTCTCCTCTCGGGGAGATTGGTATTCAGAATCAGGTAAACATTTTCACGCTGTCTGTTAACTCAAGATACTTATTTGTTAATCTCTTGAACTCTGTGTACAACTATGAACGTTCTTAATGTAATTTTTGCCAAATTTTCTCATTTTCACTGCAAACAAAATGGCGCCGCCTTCGGCTTTTTTTTGTTTAATCTTCCAATTTTACGTCTTTCGTGCATCTTACAGGTAACACGTGCTTCCCGTCTGTTCGCAGACACTGTCGCACCTGCGCCCCTGCTGATCAGTGGCGCAGGTGCGCCTAGTTCCAGAACCTCATCGCCAGGGTGGCGGAGAGCCGCCTGAACCAAGGTCTAAATGATTATGCTCATATAGACCTTGGTCTGAACCATCTGTAGGTGGTGTGCGAACGTATGGAGAAGGCTTTCCTCTAGGAGAACAAGGGCCCCTTGTAGAGAGGGTCGTGGAGGACAGGAGGAAGAAAGAGATGGTAGAGGAGAAGGAGAGCAAGCACAAGGAGATGGAGGAGAGGAAGTAGTGAGGGAAGGACGAGAAGCTCGAAGGAAAGAGCAAGTCCAAGAACCAAATAAACAAGTCCTACTTTGAATAATAATGAAAAGAAATTAAAGTAGAGAAAATTAATAAAAATGAATATGCATCATAAAATACATGGTATACGTGTTTGTGTGTGTGGGCGCGCGCGCGTATGTGCAAACTTACAACAACAAAAACCCATACACATACTTTCCTGATTTTTAACACACACTCACGTAATATGTACAAAGTAGAAAGACGCTTACTGGTGGTTCTTGGACTTCTTCCCTTCGAGCGCTATGTCCTTCCCTCGGTTCTTCCTCTCTTCCATCTCCTTGTGCTTCCTTCCCATCTCCACCTCTTCTTCCTCTCGCTGACGCTTAGCTCTCCCGCCCCCTCTCAGGGCACCCTTCCGATTCTTCCTCTCCCTCTGCCTCGATCTTTCCCCCGAGGACGACGAACACTGCTCCTTCAGCTGGCAGGCAGCTGGGCCTACGAGGGTCGTGGTCACGAGCTGCTCGTCTACCATCGAGCTCCACACGCGAGGGACATACTCCAGGAATTTGCTCTTCCTGGGGCCCGGCCGGCCACCACGATTCTTTCCACCAGAGAGGACTTGCCCTCCGCCTTCAGATGGTCCTTTTGACTCTCCTCCGCCAGCCTGGCGAAACGGTTCTGGGAATGGCTCGTGTACGTTGACCACGCCGAAGCTCTTGTCGAACTTTACCTTGAATGAGGCCACGTGTCCACGGCCAAGGTGTGGTCGCCTTGGATCACCAGGAAGCCGTGCGTGGCGTCCTCGCCGCACTCCACCTTCTACACGGCCGCAGGGGCGGCGCAGACCTTTCTTTTTGTGCAAAATTTAGTTTCTCGCTGCAGCTGCCATTGTGCTCCTCCGAGTCACGGGAAGTGTGGGATCCTTAAGGCCGCGCGTCAAGAGTCCTCGTCCTGGGCCATTCCGAGATCCTTCCTCAGAGAAGGGATGTCGGCCGACTTCAGCTCGATGCCCTGGCCGTCAAACAGACGAAGGAGCTCGCCGGCGACGACACGGATCATAGACAAAATTTAACCTCATTTTCTTATTCTTAAGACACGCATATGATTGGAAAAGTATGTAAAAAAAATCCATCACCAAGAGAAAAAAGGCAAATTTTACTATAAGACCGTTCATAATTTCAAACATTAAAGCATCTTAAATTTTGCTAATATGGATTTTTTCAACGAGTGATTTTTGCGAGTGGCTGCCCCAGTTCAGTTTTAGATTCCACTTAAACCTGGTCCTGAAAGCAAATCTCCCCAAATTATAAATCCCAAAAGAATGCGAAAAAAGTGTGAGAAGCAAAATATATAATTTACTACAGCAGAGATAAAGAATAAGGAGGGCATAAGAGCGCCTTCCATGATAAAATGAGGATTCGTGAATTTCTGAATAAGCTGCTATCTAAAGTCTGGTTTCATACTCTGATTTCTAAAGTATAAATTGTAAAAAAGCGAAATACTTAAAACAGATGGCTTGATAAGTGTAGCAGGTATTTTAACATTGCGAAATATGTTATGATAATCCGCCCATCTGTGCTGAAAATTAATAAATGCATATACCTAATGCCCGTCTCTCTCTCTCTCTCTCTCTCTCTCTCTCTCTCTCTCTCTCTCTCTTCTCTCTCTCTCTCTCTCTCTCTCTCTCTCTCTCTCTCTCTTTACGTACTCAGTTGCTAGATTTGAAATCGTATACCTGCGCTGTGTACTTTCCGTATTGCGTGAAACAGAACTTGGCATCTAGCATGTAAGTTTTTATTATGAGGGGGACCCAACAGGACACAAAAAGTTATGAACAAAATGTTTTTATCTTTTATCCTGAGGTGTGTTTTAGCCACAGATTAAAACACATACACATCTTTCCCTTATGTTTTAATGTGTGGTTACGCTAACTTCCCATGTGGTTATTTCGCACGACGTCGCCAGGATCGAGGCTTTCAAAGGCGGCGCCCCCAGGACAAGGATTGGACTGCTTGGGAATGTGTGTGTGTGTGTATGTGTATAAGAGAGAGATGAGAGGGAGAGAAGAAGAAATAGGCGCCACTTGGTTTCGAAGTGGATCCCCACCCCCCCACCCCAAGATCTTTGTACCGCCCACAGGGTGTGGTACCACCTATTTTGGGAATCAGTGACCTAGATCGTTGATGCAACAATTCTACAAAAAAAAATGTAAATAAATAAGATAATAAAAAAGTCTTATGTCTGCGAATATCTAAATATATTCCTTTTCTCGCAGCAACGTTTGGCCTCTTCTGCCTCTCAATCATGCACTTCAAGAGGAAGACCAAGAAAGACTGCGGAGTGCTGGATTCTCAGGTAAGGGCAAGGCTACTCACCTTCATTAGAGAAGTTTACCGAAGAGAATTAATCACAGGGAGTTAATATCTTGGCAATTAAGCTCTGCAGGCTAGGGTAAACAGACGCTAAATGTACAGAGCCTTTTTATGTAACTAAGCACGCCTACGCTATTTGCTGCAGTCACACAACATATCATTGATGGTAAATGGACGGCAAATTCTCTTTGAAATGCCAAGAGTGCTTCAGGTGAGTTCGAGTTCACTCAACTCTAATGAAGAGTTTTCAGTTTATTCAGGTTCCTACTTCATTTGCGATTTTTGTGTCATTCCTTCCGTTTGTTCTTTACTCTTAGCTTCTTTCCCTTCCCAATAAGGTAATCGGATTTCTCATGAGAGGATAGATACACCGACATGGTTGATAATGTAACGCACACAGATTTGCAATTCGTAATGAATCACATGAGATTTGTTTACAGCATGACATCTGTAGAGGATTCATCTCTGATAAATCCTCTACAGATGCATTATATATATTGTATAGGATATAAATCATTTATTACAACGATAAGATAAACAGCAGAAGGACAATGCCTTGCGAAATATCTGTGCCGCCATCTGGAACATTTCGCATTCCCATTCAACTCACGAGAGGAAACAAGAATAATGTCATGAACTCGAGTATGTCTGCGAGTCCGCGTAATGAACTTGGCCCATTGTCTCTCCTCATTCCGTATGTATAGCGCCATTACATATAAATGAGTTAGTGAAACGTGGGTTTTTCAGCGTAGATTTTTTTCATGCCCGTGTCTACTATTGTGAATGATTTATTCTGGAATGGCCGCGTGTTGTAATTACTTATGAATAATAATGAACCTTTCTTAAGCAATTCAAGTCCATGCAATTGATAATTTCTATTTAAATTAACCTCGTTTAACGGGGCTAATTTTCTGCTTGTACAGTTTAGCTCAGAGAGGAAACAGGAGTGAAGCAGAATAAAAACAAAGTAGTTAGCACGGATTGTAGGTTTTACTGTTCATTTAGGCGAGTCTTGTTGCTCTTAATTTAATCGTTCTCCATGGAAACTTCCCCTTGCTTCAATTTAATCGAACGCGCAGCTTCCCCAGAGTCGGGTTGGCGGAATTCCATTGCCTTGAAGTGCTTATTCACGACGCTGCGATGAGCAACGATAATGTAATGCACGAAAAGGAGAATTAATTGAAGACATTCGAGGATTTAATTGAGTGAGGGGAATCCTTTGTTCTCTCCATGGAACAATGAGATAAGACAGGGTAGTTATCCCTAAAGACCGGTCGCGGGAAAATGATTTCGTTTCCATCCCGTGTGACTGCAACCTTCTCTTCCACAGGTGACGCCCGAATACAGCTCGGCTCGCGTGTTCCAGACGGGATGGTCCCTCGACCTGGGCTGGGGCGGCGTGGTCACGTGCCTGGTGGCGGCGCTGCTGTGGCTCCTGTTGGCTCGTATCATGCGCTACAACCCCATCTCTCTTTCCTGATGTCACCTCTGCCCACGCCCTTGCTCTCGTCCCCTCCGCCGCGCCCTCTTCGCCTGCCTCCGCGCCTGCCTGTGCTGCGGCTCAGCCAAGCACATCTCGCCGGAGATCTACTAGTCCCTTCGACGTTCCCGACGGGCCCGACGACCTCGGCGCGTCGGGCCCCGCGCTCGGCGACAGCAGCAGCGAGACGTCCATTTGCTTACGCTAGATAGCATCAGAGACAGCCAACTCCATCCAGACGTGGGCGGCGATCTGTTCGACGTGGGCGGCGATCTGTTTGACGTGGGCGGCGATCTGTTCGACGTGGGCGGCGATCTGTTTGACGTGGGCGGATCTGTTCGACGTGGCGGCGATCTGTTTGACGTGGGCGGCGATCTGTTCGACGTGGGCGGCGATCTGTTCGACGTGGGCGGCGATCTGTTCGACTTCGGCTCAACTTCCGCCTCTGGTTTCCTTACCAGTGGGCGTGGGCAGGTGTATGTCCATCACTCGCGACTGGTGCTGGTTTGAAATTATAAATGAAAAGTGCAATGTCAAAACCGTGCAGGGAGCGCGGGTTTTACTGACGAAGTGATGGAATCAGGCCCGCAAGTTGGGATCCGCTGCAGTATTCGTAGGATGAAAGGGTTTCGAAAGTGGAGAAATGAATGGATTAGCACTGAGATCCGGCTGTTATGACCACCTCGTTAATGAAGGAAGTTTTACTGTTCATACTTATTCAAGTTGTCTTCTTATGTAATGGCCAGCACTGTCGTTTAGTTATCATGAATGTCTCCGAATAATCTATGCCTCAGGTACTTTTCCTAATTATTATTATTTTTTTTTTTTTTATTTTGCTTTTACATTCGTGGCGTTTATCACATAATTCTGATTTATCTGTACGCGTACAGACATTCTCAATACACACGCAAATCCAAACATATATACGTATGCCCACATTCACATACACAAATACATGTGCTTGCATACAAATACATACGCGCGCGCGCGCACACACACACACACACACACACACACACACACACACACACACACACACACACACACACACACACACACACACACACATGTACTTCCATACACACATACAAACACATACACAAACAAACACATGTGCTGAAAAACTTAATTTCCTCTCTCTTATGCAGTGACTCCGAAATTTCGAGCAAGCGAGAGGAGAGACGGCCAGAGAGAGGCTTCCCCGCGGGTCCCGTGACAAAGAGAGCCGAGGCCGTGAAGGAACTTGGTGCGGAGCCGAGGGAGGAGGAGAATGGGGGCGAGGAGGGGAAGCCACTCACGCGCGTGCATTTGGGTGTCGCTGTGAAGGGATTATGCGGCGCGGATTTTCGTATTGGATGTGAAGCTTTTTATTAAAGTTTTTATTGAAAGAGGAAGTGAAAATTTTCTCTTTTGCTTTTTTGTTGTTTTTGGAATAGGATGTAACGAGGTCTTTGTGTTTTGGTTTCGTGTCAAAAAGAGAGGAGAGAGACTGTTAATGGATTTTTATTTTATTTTTTTCGTTTTTTTTAAGCAAGAGCATCGGTGGCAAAATATGAGATTTAAAAAAAAACATTTGCAGAGACCTTAGATCGTACGCAAGGTATATGAAATGGCATATGATTACAGATATAAAGATGACGCTCCGTTAAGCTAACCCAGTAATAGCTTCCTTGTTGCTAGTTGGCCTGCTACTAGTGGCCTGCTGTGGTGT